TCAATTGGGTTGAAATTGAATCCGAAGAAATTTGATTCGGTTTAATCTAGGATTATGAGAAGGGAATTTAATGCATTCGGGATTTTACTCTAGACCATGAAAATGGCTAGAGTGCTCTCTTGGATAGCGGGTTTTCGGTTTGAGAGAACCGAACCCGACCTTAGTCTTGGAATCCCTCGCCTTTGAACGAGCATGATCTAGGTCCACAATCCTTTACGGCATCCTTGCATGATCGGTGAAACCCGATTCCCATAACCTTTCCCGTCAATTTTCTCCTCTAGAATTATTGCTTGCTTTGATTTTTATTTCTTTCATTTAATTTTCTGCAACTTTGAAAACCCATAAAAAACAATTCTCCAATTTTATTTTCTCCATTTTCCTAGTTTTAGTCGATTCCTAGCTTAACCGCTTAAGTCCTTGTGTTCGACCCTGGTACTACGACATCCGTATACTTGCGGATTAGTTGTGTTTCGGTTTACAAATTTAAGACTCGTCACGCAAGTGATCACGTCCCCGTGCTAGGTGGTGGCTCTCTCGTCTCTTGAACGTCTTTAATAATCGTCGTAGAGGGTTCGGAGACGTTCGTAGAAGAATCGGGCGTGTCGATGTGAAAAACGTCTGATTTGCTCAGAGACTGGATCCGGTCCGATTCCAGGTGGAATCGGTCCGTTTCTAGTTTGTCTTCGCAAGACCGTGTTTGGATCCCGTCTGTTTCCAGGTGGAATCGTTCCGGATCCACCTTCTGTAAAAATCTGTCTTCGAAAGGCTGTGTTTGGATCCGGTCCGTTTCCAGGTGGAATCGGTCCGGATCCATCTTCTTTAAAACTCCAATTTCGTCCGATCCTTCGTTCAATGCTCTTGTAAGCTCCCGGATATCCTCCCAATTGTTGTATATACTCTTATTCGACGCAAGGAGAGATATCTCTAAAGGATCGACTTCCCGAAACTGATCGAAAACTTCTTGAGTGAGGATTTCATGCACATCGACGTAGCACGCTGAATAGGTGGTGGATGGCTGCTTCATGTTGTGATCTAAGGTGAACTCCATCGTCTCGTCACCTATCTTCATCGTAAGGCGACCAGCACGAACATGAACCACCGCATCGACCGTGTTTAAGAACGGCCGACCTAGTATAATAGGTATCTTCGAGTCCTCGTCCATGTCTAAGACAACAAAATCAACGGGAACATAATAATCCCCAACTTTCAATGGGACGTCCTCGAGAATACCTGCAGGATACTTGACGGATCTATCCGCAAGCTGTAGTGCCATCCTCGTCGGCTTAAGATCTCCAACGTTGAGCTTCTTATAGATAGACAATGGAAGCAAGCTCACACTGGCACCCAAATCGCACAATGCACAGTCAATCTCAATGTTCCCGATTTTGCAAGGAATCGAGAAACTACCTGGATCCGATCTCTTTCGTGGCAACTCATGCTGTAGAATTGCAGCGCTCACCTCTATGCTCAAGGATACTGTCTCCTTCCCAATCACCCTCTTCTTAGTCAAGATATCTTTCAAAATTTTCGCATAAGAAGGGATCTGAAGTATCGTCTTATAGAAAGGCATCTTAACCTCTAACTTCCGAAGCATATCAACAAATCTAGACAATTGTGTATCCTCAACATGCTTCTTCAATCGATAAGGGAAAGGAACAGGTGGTATATAAGGTGGGGAAGCTACATAAGGCGGT